GAAGGACATTGCAGCCCCTCGCTGGCTGTGTCTGGGGTGATACGTACGGCATCTTGTGTAGGTGGAAAAGAAATTGTGCTACTGCAAAACTCCCCCCCAGCACTGCAGTGCAATCCACAGCCTCTTCATGCGTCTGTGCTGCTGCCACCCACCAGCCCATCATCTAGCTACCTCCTGTTGCTTTAGCTCTTTTGGGTTCCACAGCAAAAATGAGACAATAACAGTTTTTACACCATGTATTTGAGCCTTAACCTCTGACACCTACCAGACCATCATCCTCACTTTATTAATCTACCTGCTATTGTTTTGTCTCTTGGGCTGCACAGAAGAAATGAGATGAGTAATGGTTGCTACATCATGTGTTTGAGCCTTCCCAGTACATACTGTGTAATCTGTGGGTGCTTTGTTTATTATAGACACTTTAGGGAAGAGACTCCATTTGTGGCTTGTAGAGCAACAAGCACATTGTTCTTAATGAATAAATAATAGTAAAAAGAGCTGTGTAGCCTAGGTAAATGCATTTGTTCATCCCATTACGTTGGCAGCATCTCAGTAGTAAAACAATAGCACTTAAACATAGAAAAGGCTTATTTGATCATCCAGCTCGATTTTTCCTGCCAATTCAGGACTATTCCGAGTCGTATGTTTCAAAGCGCCTACTTAAATATCCCTTGCACTGGTGTTTCTGCCGCTACCTCCTGCGACATCCGTGTGTGCAGTTCCAGCTCTGTGGTGTTCAGGAACCTGCTGTTGGTTCAGACAGAACAGAGGCTCTCATCTGTTGTTTCTAAATTAAATGAGCTTTATTTTAACAGTATTTGAGATTTTGTAGAATTAGGAAAAAAAAGGGTTAAAGGAAGCTTCAAGAAATAATATAAGAACACATGAAAAGCAGGCTGAGCAGGGCTGGGGAGAGGAGGACATCTTTTTCCATAGAAGGTCTTGGAAACTCAACGAATTTTTGATCCCAGGTTCTGCAGAGGACAGAAGAATGGGGGATGTGGTGGATGAGTGAGATGTTTAAGGATGACACTGACAAAACCAGCTGTGTAAACTCAACCTTGAGTTGGTCTCCCCAAGCTGAGTGACAATAACTCAGAAATGTGTTTATGCTGTTTCCTTTATTCATATTCTGTTATGGTAAGATGTATTTCTCTGGATAATAGCCTGAATGTAGTATTCTTTATTAATAGGTTGTTTTAATAGCATATCTCCCTTGTTTTGTTTTGTTTCCTTTTTTTTGCTTTGTATGATGCACCATGGCAATGCTACAAGTTTTCTAGGAATGCTGATACCAGGATTATTGTTTGTATCCAACCTGAAGCCTTTTCAGCCCCCTGACAATGGCAAGCCATTGCTTGGCTCCTACAGAGGAAAACAAATATCCCATTCTTATAGGTAATGGATGAGCTGAGTACAATGTTATTTACTAGTTCTCTCATAAAAAGATAGCCATAAAGGCATTCTCTGTCTGAGCAGAGAGGATACATCACATAAAGATTTTTGGAGGAAAATTTTTGTTGAATGACATCTTTGGTCCATGGGTATCTCAGCATAGGATTAACCTCAAGTGATTGATAGAAGAAATAATGGCAGCCTGTGAGAAGAGCTGGAAAGAATGTTTCCGTTTTGATTCTGTAGCATTGTTCAATATGGAGAATTAGCTTCCTCTGGGCAGTATGGTAATTTAATGCTCTATTAGCTGGCCATTATTTGTTTATACTTAACGTAATTTAGAAATATGGGTAAGGAAACTCAAAAAGTAATGAGATGGCCTCTTAGCAACAGGACATCTTTAGAAATTCTGTGGTTCACTGAGGGATCCCCACAGCACTTCCTGGTGATGTAATACAATTAAGTTTCTTTAGTTTTGTTTATTGTAACTTTTCTTTCGTCTTCCTTATATTTCTTTTTTTGTCTTATATTTCTTTTTATTATAGAGGTAGGTCTTGAACTGCCAAAAGGCTTAGCCCATTTTGCCTTCACTGATAAGTTGATAACCCCTCTGTCTAATCCTACTTTGAAACAAGGCACTTTCTTTGTTTCTGTTGAGAGTTAATTACCTAGGCTGTCACACAGCCCAAGGAAAAATAATATTTCATATGGTGGTGGAACAGAACTCTTTGGAGAACTGCCTAAGAAATGCTTCTCATAAATCTATCATGAGAAAATTTCTTTTGCTTATCATAATGTATTATGAATTGCTTTGAGTGGCAACCTAAGCAGGTGGAATAGAATATTAGTGAGATATTTGGGAGTTTCGTTTGGGGGAAAAAAGCGAGTCTGTTTTGGAAATATTTGTATATGTGTGTGCATGGGTGTAATCTCACCTAGATGAGAATACAAAACATGCAAAGTTGAAATATTTCAAACATGTGAACACCGCTGTAATGGATTGGGTCGGAAATAATTAAGATACCCAATTCCAGTGGCTTTGGAGCTGCAAAGGAAAAGACAACGCAACATACAGAGATAAGAGGTAGCAAAGAAAACCAGAGCATACCGTATGGGGACAGGTCTGCAGCTTTAGGGAAGAGTTACAGCATGAGTTACTGGGGAAATGATTGCAGCTGTCAGGCTACGCGGTGGCCGCCGTAAAGGAAGAGGGAACAGTACCATCACTAAGGAAAAAGAGAGAAGAAATAGAGCATTGTTGAACTGAAGGAGGGAGCTACTGTTGTTTCTAGCATTTTTTTAAGGTGCTGTTTACAAAAACAACATCAGGTCTTTTTGTACTTCTAGAAGGAGGATATTTTCTGGTGGGGGATGCCTAAATAAGTCTGAAACCTTTGTTGATATTGACTTTAGCATGAAGATCAGGAGGGAAGCGGTGTATTGCTGCTGTGGGTTGATGCTCAGGATGTAACGTGGTCCTGGTTTGGGTCAGCAGCAGCAAGTTCGGGCATGGCAGAGACGGTAAATCCAGCTCTGGGCCAGAATAATCTCTGTGCCTCAGCCTCCGTGTTTCCTGGTTGTTTGGGGCTGTTGTCTGGGGGTCTTGGAGGGCAGCTGCTTCTGAATTGGGTTTTTCTGGGTTTTGTTGTTTGGTTGGGTTTTTTTCCTCCCTGCTGCAGTGACTGTCACCTTGATAGAGTGAGGAAACCCTTCATAAAAGAGTAGTTCAATGAGCTAATTTGGTATTCTGAAGGTAAGGAATATAGAGGAAGTGTTAGTGCAATGAAAACCAAACAGAAAGAAAGGGCAGAAAAATGAGAAACATCAGAAATACGGTAGAGATGAAATTCAGTTATTTCCATGACCGTCATTGCCGGAGCTGTCAGCGGGTCAAATCTGCCTGTAATAAAGGCTGATCTTAGCAGCCACTGACTTTCATGGTCTAACATGAAATCTCTTTTTTGTTTAAATTAAAATAGTACATACAGACATGACAAGCAGATAATAGAAACTTGAGGAGAATGAATGCAGCACGGTAGGCGGGAAGGTGCAGAAGCTATTCCACACTGCTTGACCCAAGATTGGTGCCAGTAATTCCCTGGAGACCCCGAGGGTTCGGACACCCTTTACCACCTTTCTACACACCAGGAGCTCCACAGCCAGTGCTGGGCTCTGCAAAATCTCTCTTCCCATATGCCAGCTGCTAAACCAGCTGCGGGCTTGTGCCTGTATGGAGGAACCTTGTTTTTTTCCCCTGAGAAAACCTATCAGGTTTTAATTCAGGATGGTGTTGGTCCTGCAGATGTCTGGTATTCTGATTTTGAGAGGTGATGATCTTGGGAGGACTTTGTCCTGGTTTCAGCTGGGATAGAGTTAATTGTCTTCCTAGTAGCTGGTACGGTGCTATGGTTTTGAGTTTGGTGTGAGAAGGATGTTGATAACACACCGATGTTTTCACTTGTTGCTAAGTAGTGTTTAGTCTAAAGTCAAGCATTTTTCAGCTTCTCATGCCCAGCCAGCAAGAAGGCTGGACGGGCACAAGAAGTTGGCACAGGACACAGCCAGGACAGCTGACCCAAACTGGCCAAAGGGGTATTCCAGACCATGTGATGTCATGCCCAGTATATAAACTGGGGGGAGTTGGCCTGTGGGGATCGCTGCTTGGGAACTAACTGGGCATCAGTCGGTGAGTGGTGAGCAATTGGATTGTGCATCACTTGTACATTCCAATCCTTTTATTATTACTGTTGTAATTTCATTAGTGTTACTATTATCAGTTTCTTCTTTTCTGTTCTATTAAGCTGTTCTTATCTCAACCCATGAGTTTTACTTTTTTTCCCATTCTCTCGCCCATCCTACTGGTTGGGGGGGGAAGTGAGTAAGCGGCTGCGTGGTGCTTAGTTGCTGGCTGGGGGTAAACGACAACAGACTTTTATGTCAAGACAGGATAAGGTGAAAGCAAAGCTTTGAAATGCTATTTATGAAACACAGAATAGGCAAAACAGTTGGAAAGATGTATAAAGAGAACTACCAGAAAGAAGTAGGAAGCAGGTTTCATCTGCTTCTCCCAAGAACGAGTCCCACACTGCTCCAGCTGGCTGGCTGCAGACTGGTCCCTCACGCATCTTGTGGGAGCTGCCAAGAACACTGCTCTGGTGCGTCCACTGTCCTCTGGTTCTGTCTGCTGGGAAGAGAGCCTCTGAATCGCCTGTGCCGCTCTGGAGATGGCTAGCATAATACTAAAGGAGTACAAAATTGGGCTGTCTACTTAGCTCTCCAGAATTTGTTATGGCCACAATCTCATGGGGAAGATGTTGGTGACCACCAGCTTCACAACAGATACTTTTGCCAATGTGTGTCCTTTATGTGAGTCAGTTTTATCATGGCCTTCATTGGACTAAACCGAGCAGAAATTAGTTTTAGTCACTGCTGTTCTTTACAAGTAATATCATAATCTTGCGTTGGGAGGGCGTTGTCAGTTTGCCAAATGTCTTCTCTTTAAGAAGCTCTCATTTTGTGTCGATTACTCAGATAGCAGTGAGACATCAGAGGATAGGAGTTCATTAGGTGCAGTGATTAAAACCTTTCTTACATTTTTGCTTTAGGTTACATTGAAGAATCTTGCATGGTCCCTTGCCCGTTTGATTGCAAATTAAGCGATTGGTCCAGTTGGTCCCCTTGCAGCTCTTCTTGTGGACCGGGGGTGAAAGTCCGATCCAAGTGGCTTAAGGAGAAGCCTTACAATGGAGGTCGTCCCTGCCCAAAGCTGGATCTCAAGAACCAGGTGAGCAGCATTAAATAAACAACAGAAATCTCTCTGTGCTTACTGTATTTTTAATTGTGATCAAAAGGTACTGTGCTGGTGAAGAAATTAAAAATAGGAGTTATCTCTGGGATCAAACCTGGTGTCAGATTTTGTAGGCAATCCTCGGAACTTCTTGAGGATTGAGGGTGAGATGCTCATGTAACAGCAGAATTTGACCTGAAACACCGTACTTCTTATAGGAAGAAATTTTTATCTCCCAGAGCACAGGAAGCCATGGACGAATAATCCCACCTGGACAGTGTATAGACATCAGAGAGCTCAGACGTCATGGATATTTTCAAACTTCTTAATTCTCTGAGACTATGGTTGCTGTAGAAACATTTGTTAAATATATATTGCTATTTTTAGCAACGTTTCCCTTCAACACAACACAAGTTCTCTTGAATACTAATCTCTGTATATTCAATATTGAAGTATCCCATCAGAGGAAAATAATCTTTAAATTGCTACTCTTAAAAAAAGATCGGCATCTATTTAAATGCTACTTAATGCTGTATGCATTTCTGCAAAACTAATAGTGATTTCCTACATTTGCTGATTAATTCTCAACACTAATTAACACTGATGAAGTGCTATTTAGTTTTGCCTCTCCTTTATTTCAGATTCAACCATGAAAATTAATTAATAGGACAGAAACAGTCACGCTGAAGGGAATTCATATATATGTTATGAATATATATATATATCTGTAAAAATATGTTGCATAGTATGTGTAGTAGTACTTTAATAGTATTCATACAAAGATTTATTTGTGTAGTGGCTTGTAGGTGCTAGAGCTGGTGGATCCAGTTGTTTTTCTGTACTACCGTTGCTGCAGCATTCGTGTCCCAGGATGCAGCACCACTTCTAACACTTGATTCTGAACTTGCCTCATTTTCTTCACAGTTTATTTTTTTTCCGGTGAGAAACTTGGTAAATACTTTTTTTTTCCTTTTCTTTTTCCTTATTACTATTTGAAATTCATAGGCAGCAGCCTAACAGAAGCAGCAGGGACTATGAAAATATAAAACTGCAATAAAGTGTATGTTGTCCATACCTCAGTGCTTTTCTTAATAGATCAGACAGATCACCAAAGAGGCAAAATGAAATCCCACAGTAAGTTGTATGGTAACAATAAGCTCCTTTGTAATGAAAAGATACTGGGGTTTGTTACCCATAGACACAGCAGACTACTTCCATTAAAAGTAAACTTATTGCTATAAAGTGTTGCCTATTCCCACACACATTAGATTTGCTAATTTCAAAAGCCTTTCAGAAGATACTAAAGGAAGGAAATTGTTTAAAGTTGGAAATTATGTCTTTGTACAGTTTATCAGTGCACAGTGCTTGCAAAGTGCCACGGCTGGTATTAATATAAACGTGGTTGGTACTTTTTGCCTCTTTACTGGGAACGCGCATCTTGATCTAAAACCCATTGAATTCATTAGAGGGCTTTCTATTGCGGGCTCTAGTAGTGACACCTTAGAATTGCATTAAGGTCTGGGATTTTTAGGTATGGTGGGTTTTCTGTTTGTTGATTTGTTTTGGGTTTGTGTTTGTTTTAGGGTTGGGTTTTTTTTGGATTGAGGCAGAAGCTATTTCTAGCTGTTTTAGCACACCAATGGATTACCTTTTTCCAATTTAGATTTATAGGATTGGATCAGATCCTATATATTTTGGACCTTTTAGGATAAGAAGAAATTGTGCTAATAAGGAAAGTGTGTGTATATATATGTATGTATGTGTACACTCAGATATGCACACATTTACACATATTGTGTGCATGATTCTCTTCATTAACTCCTCAAACACTTCTCAGTTCTTTGCACAGTTTGGAAGGAGTTTTGCTCTGCACCCACTGGACTTTGACTTCCAGCACTGATTTAGAAACATTGAGGTCCTTAGGCACATTGCAGCATGCACAAGTTGCCTACCCAGATGGTAAACTAAATTAGCTGATCGCGCTGCTGTTTAGCTAAGCTGGACACATATTAATCCACTGCAAGGCAGATTGTCTTCTGTTTCCTCTGGTCTGGGTGGTGTTTAAATCCTTGAGCAAAGGTCTATAGATTCTTTATATATAAATATGTGCCATCCTAATTATTTTTATATAATTTGGGTTAAATACCTGCAGTAAAATACTTGCTTTTGTTTGATAACAGACGTGAGAAAGCTAAATCACCTTGGTGCTGAGATTTGCTCTATCTTTCACTGGCTACTGTGTTATATTGTGTTTTATGCAGTTGATAAAGACGTTAGATAACTTAGAACCAAGAATAAACTCTAGCTGCCGGTAGATTTCCCTTATTATTTCCTCTAGTATTTTTTTTTAATTATTGCTTCTGAGCTTGGGTCTTGTTATTGCTTATCACTTTGGAGAATCCTCCATTTTCCAGTGTCTTATAATTAAAGCCCTCAGTCAGTTTGTGTCTTTTTCTCATTAAGCTAAATAATCTTTTCACCCTTTTCTTGTGAAGGGTGTTTTCTAGGCTTCTTGGCAGACCCCCGTATGGTTTTTTTTTCAATGTCTTTCAGATATTTGACATAAATTTAACTACAGAGAGTGTTACTTGAAACACTATTTCAGCAAGTCTCTCTTACCGTTTCCCACCATGTCCAGTGTCCTGCCAGTACAAATACTTTAGCAAAGCTTTGGAGAGAGGGGCAATTTGCATGATCAAAACAATTTATGTGATGAATATAAATAATTATTTGAATCACATAATCTTTTTCATAAAAGACTGTCCTAAGATAAGTTCAGTCAGTGTAGTGCAGGTTGCTTGTGTATTTAGGACAGAAATTTTTAGCAGAGGTTTAATTTTATTCAGAGATAATGACACATTCTTTTACTGCATGATATTCTGTGGGGTTTATGCTTTTAATTCCATGGAGTTTTTGGCTCTTCTGGAGTATCTCGAAGCCACTCCTTCAGATGTCTTCATCCCCCCCTGCCTGCAGAGCCTCTCAAGCAGTCCACTCCTTTTGCAGTAAATGTGAGAAGTAGACTCGGAGTTAGGAGAATTCATTCCGCTTTACTACTTCTTATTACATTCAATGGACTAGGTTCAGCCCTTCCAGATTTTCATTCCAGGTTTTGTTATTTTCCAATAGAAGTGACAGTTTGTGTGGGCTGTGTTCACTTGGTATTCTGATATAATCACTCGATTTGATATAGTCACTTCATCCTTAAACTTCCTCTGTGTTGTTGCCCTGTGAAATTAAAAGATGAATTACAATATTTGGGGGAAGAGATGACAGTATTTTAATGCAGATCCATGTAATATGTTGAATTACTTTCGTCTTGTACCTCTAAGTGTTTGAAAATTGCTGAAGAGCTGGCTAACTACATTTTGCTCCATCTCTTAAAGAAAATGGGCATTGCATGTAGAAGCTGTGCAGCTCTTATCTAAGGATATGATTGCTTCTGAACAGCCGATTGGATTATGGGGTCAGCTGGCAGATGTTCTTGGCTGTGCAGTGCATGTTAAAAGAGGTGTAGCATTTACATTTTTCTATTTCTGCTCTTATTTGAATGCACTTACACAGCATGCAGTTGCTAAGCTATTTAATATGTAGTTCTACATGCTGAAAGGTTAAATATGAGTTATGGGGGGTTTATTGCTTGAATATTCTTTTATAGGTTTTTAGGATTACTACAAGAAAATGCATCTTATTTTAAAGACTCATGAATTCCAAGGATTATCTTTTCATTGATTGCTCTAATATATATTCCTGTCAAGATTTTCCCTCCTTCTCCTTCCTCCCCCTTTCTCTTTTACCCAGTCCTGCTAAGGACAAATATCATAGCAAGTAGTTTATTCCCTTTATATATACAGTATGTATTTAAGCAAACATTTTTAAAGGATTAGGAGCCTTTGTAAAGGCAGGCATAGCAGGAAAAAAAAATGTAACATATTTAAAATTTAAACTTACTGCTTTCTTTAAAATGAGTAATTTTTTCTTAATGACATTTTCTGGTGTTCAGTCTAGAATATGAGAAATACAGACACCTTACACATTACAATTGCAAGTACTGTTCCTGAAATTGCATACAGAAGTTTAACGAAAGGGAAAAGGAGGGCAGTGGTGCATTTACAGATCAGATCTCTTAGAAGCAGGTGTGAAGATGTATGAATTTCTGGTAACCTTTTCATAGAAAATGACTGGTTTAGTCCTACTTGCACTTCAGAGAGAGCAAATTTTTTTGATCGGCAAAAAATGTGTCAAATTTCTTTTGAAAAGTGAAAATCTTACAAAATTGTAGGCTTTAAAACCTCACTGTTAGAATGTACAAGATTGGACGGGCTTGGAGACTGCTGTTAACTGTAGAAGTCACTATCACTTAGGAGGCAAAGCTGGGCTTGGGCTAGAGATGGGGGGGGCGGGGGGTGATCTTTCCCCTTTTCTAATCTGTATTGTTAGGAAAGGTCTGTTCAGGAAAGGCCTTTTGTTAAGATATTTCCAGGGCTTTTCACACTTTAATTCCTCAAAAAAAACCACAAAGAAAACCAACACAGTAGTATGCGGACTGAAGTTGGATTCGTTCACATTCAGTAGCCATTTCTCAGGCAATTTTTGGCTCACATTTGGCAAGCTAAGTTTCTGTGGTCCAAAAATGCCCTTAGACTGTGTCAGAGGAACTCTGCCTAAGGAAGAGCAACGTAGCATGGCTTATCACAGGTCACCGTAATGAAACAAGGTCCACTTTTTTTACCTAGGTAACTGTTCTCAGAGCAATAATTTTGTATACAATAAAGTTTCTGAATAAACAACATGTAATGCTACCGTATTTCACCTATTTTCCTTCCTTCAAGTTATGTTCTTGTCCTTACTGGCTGACACAAAGTATTTGCAACCTCTTTCATCTATCTTTGTCCACCATCTGACTGTGAATTATTAAAATAGTATTTATTCTCTTAATTTTGACTGTGTCTGACTATAAAAGAGTTTATTTTCATGCTTTGTTTTGATGTAATACT